GAACGAGAAGGGATGGACAGACTCTCCAGGACCACCTTGAAGGTGCTGCTGGCCCCCACACACCATCACCAACCTCAAGTGCATTCCAGGTTTTTGTCAAATCATACACAGATCTTGGTACAACCCTGCCCCATGAGAAACCTCTTGGCTCAATCTGCCACAGGCTGAGAAAATGTAAATGTGCCTTCACCCAGTGGTTGAAAATACAAGGGCTAAAAAAGCCCAGGCTATTTTTAAAAGGCTGAAACAACGTCAGTGGACATCGTTCAGCTTTGCAGAGGCTGCAGAAAGGAAACCAGCAGGTCACAGCAGTGGGAGCATTTCTTTAAAAAGCACAGCAAAGGACCAGGTGACAAGACCTGCACTCACCAGTTCCTCCATGCCATCCTTCTGAAAATCCACCTCGTCCTCAGTTTTCATTTCCAACCTCCCTGTGCAAACAGAAGGTCCACAAAGGTAATTTTAAAATAAGCTTATTTCACCGCTATTAATATTTTTTTTGTTTATTCAAACCAGTCCCATCCCCCCTCCCCCCAAAAAATGAAAACCCAACCCCTACCACCCTTCAACAAGTCCATTTGAACCCCTTCAAGTCCATTTGATTTCCAAATTCTGGTTTCATTGCTGATTTCGCTGCTTCCTCACTATTCATTTTAATATCTATTGCATCTGGGACTGAAGGAAACTATGAAACAGCAGCAAGCATAGGGTGCTACTCCTGCCAACCTGTAGATGAGACCAAGCACATCTGCAGGTATTTGTTCACGTATTTTTTTGGCTCCCATTCGTCTACATAAAGAACCGAACTTTTTGCTATTTTTCTCCTTACCATACCACAAACCAAAGATAATACAGGAAAGTAGTCTTTTCTGCCCTCAATAGGTATTCTAAGCATTGCAAAAAAACCCCAAAAAACAACAACAACAACAACAACAACAAAAAAAAAACAACAAACCAAAACAAAACAAAAAAATCACAAGCTGTAAAAAATTCAACCCACATGCACTGCCTTATGGATGAGAGAATTACCCCCTGGACTAGGAAGGCAAAACCTTTGCTGCTGGAGTTTACAAAGTCCCAGCTAACTTTCCCCTTCTGCACGCTCTTGTGATGGTGTCACCACCACAGTTGTACAAATTTCATGTCCCAGCTGCTTCCTCTGCCCAGCCAAGTTTTCATTAGTCACCATTCCCCAGGGATTTCCCCTGCTTACCTTTTTCTGGCATGAAGTCAACATCGTAATTCTCTTTGAACCCTAAGCTAAGGACTCTCATTACACACAGGCCACTTTTAGGGGAGTGAAGTGATTTGACCAAAGCCACCCAGATGGAGAGTGGCTGTGTCAGGGCTAAACTCTCCTCTAATCCCACTCCCTCTCTCATTTCTACTGAAAACAAACACTGGATGGATGACAACGCCTTCTAAAGGGTGACGTAGGCTTGCAGTGAGTTTACCCATACAGGAATTTAGCAACAGGAGCCTCCCATCCTCATGGGGAAATTGTCCTAACAGTCGTCACTAATGGTTTTCCACTGGCTTTAATGCCTGCCCTTGTTTTTCGGGACCATCTAGTTTTGCAATGATTTTGCCTCAATTGTATGAATTTGTAGGTAGACTCAAAAATCAGAGGTAATGCTACAAATTTTGGCGAGTTCTGTTTGCTGGGAGATCTGCTTGGGGTCACGGCAATGCCACCATGGTTGAGATCCTGATCCAAAGACAGAACACACAAGTAAGAAACATTTGGTGCACTGAGGATGGGAGAAGCAAGATCACCCTGGGTAGGGAATGAAGGATGAAGATATTTTGCCCTCAGGATGAAATTCAAGACAATTTTTTTACTCTGTCACTTCTTTCTAAATTTATATTAAGAAATATCCCAAAGGAAAAGCAGAGGTCTCCTTATTGCATGTGTGGCACTGTTAGTGACACTTGTTACCTGCTCGTCCTGCCACTCTAACAGGGAAAGGAAATCATACCAAGAGTTTTTCCATAGGGAAAATGCCACTTGTAAGAATGAGGTGAAGACTCATAAGGTGATGATCTTCTGTCAAGGAATATTTTCTTGAAATGCTGAGATCTAAAGGAGATATTTCTCCCAGGAGAACAGCTAGGGAGCAGTAATTACAATATTTGTTATTTAAGATGGCAGAACCCCAACCATACAATCAAACCTTCCTTGGTTTGGTTTCTGCTAAGAATCTGCAACTCTCCGAGGTGTTTTGTCAGCACAAACCCATGG